AGATCTTCTTTAAAAGAGACTAATCCTTACACAAAAGTTTACCGTATATTAAAAAGTACTATTAAAAAAAGGTTGAAAAGGAAATTCTGCACATATTAGGCATCGACGATCAAATCATACATTCAGTCAGTAAAAACTAGGTCTCCCTAAAAATTATTCTTTTTTTGTGTGTGTTGGACTGGTTTTGGCTGAAAGTGACAGCTGGCTGCATTCTTCTTTAGAATTACTGGACAGGACAGAAGCTTCATTTAATATATAATTGGTTCTCATGGGCTCCTGAAAAATGAAGATATTTATCCATGGCTGTTCTTCAAACACTATCACACTAGTCAACAGGAAATTTACAAGTAAGCAAATCAGCAGTTGTCAGAGATACAACCTAATAGGAAACCACAAAACTACATAACCATGTACACTTACAGTAACTATAGATTTACCCCAGAACAGCATGCAGGTAAAAAAGAAAGGCCTATTTGGAAGGTTGATTCTTACTAAAGATTTCTGCAGAGCTCTAAGTTTCACACATGGGGAAACATTTTTTTTTTTTTTTTTTTTTTTAAATATCTGTAAAAAATAAAACAAGGCAACTGGAGTTGCTGTATTTTTCTTGAAGACGTTTCACTCAATTCAGAATTGAGAAAGCTTGTTGGATGACCAGTGGAACATCTTCAAGGAAAACACAGCAAGTCGAGCTGCCTTGATTCATTTTTTTTTTTACAGATAAGACCAGAAGGAAAGGAATGTGTTTTCCTCATAGGAGACAGTCTGTCTTACACAAAATTAAATTAGTTGGTTCCTCAGTTAAAGTGAAACTCCAGTCATTTTTTTGTATAAACCATTTAAAAAAGGGTAGAAACTATTTAAAATGTGGGACAATAAAATTACTAGGGATGCACCGAAATATTGGCCACCAAAACATTTCGGCTGAAAATTGTACTATGGGCAAAATGCAAGCAAGCTTCGGTCTGTGGCCCCTCCAAGCCCCCCACCCCCCTTGTGTGAGGAGAAGCAGCGGGGATCAGAAGGGACACAGAGTCTATGCCATTTCAACCGCATAGGCTAGAAGCTGTCAGGGCTGACCGTGTCAGTGGAGAAGGAGAGCTGCAGGAGGGGTGGAACGGTCAGGATGAAGAGCAGGGAGGATCAGCAAATATGTGAAATATTTGCTGATCCTGCCATGTACTGCTCAACCATCAGTGTGATCAGTTCTGATCACACCAAAGTTTGCAAATACCTGAGAACATAGTATTAAGTTACTGTGTCCCCCAATTATGAATGAATAGAAGTGCTCTTCATAACTTCCTGTTCATTCGGGATTGTGGACATAGTATTTGATCCTATCTCCTCAGTTTATAAACAGACAGGAGCTACTCGGTATAGAGACTTCCTGTTCATTCATAAGAGGTGCAGAAAAAAAAAAAAAAAAAAAAAAAAAAAGAAAGATATAAAATCC